TATGTTATTATCCACATCATTGACTAATATGCATTAATTGTCACATGTCATGGTCAGGGATGATCCAAAGAGCGTCTTGTGGACAGAAGGGGATTTTATTGAAAACAGAATGAAATAAACAATAAACAAAAGCGACCAGGAGGGGACAAAACAAGGGCAAGAAGGTGAACCTTCTACATAGGCTAGAACTAGCAAGAAGGATACACTGAGAGAACATTAACAAAAACCAGGCAGGAAACACAAACAGCACCTGCTGCATCGCCAACAACACTCACAATGACTGACACAGTCCCCAGGCAAGGGCAGGTACATATACACTCTAACAAGGCTGGACGAGTGACAGGAATGGACCAGTTACTAATTAGACACAAGAAACTCAAAGCTGAAGGGAACAGGTGAATGGTATCAAACATTAGGAGAGACTTGGAACAAGGGTACGTGACATTACTACAAAACTAAACAAAGGTAAGGATAACTAGACAAGGGTACAAAAACAAGGATCTATACTAAAATGCAAGAACATATTGACAAGGGGCAAAACAAAACTAATAAATAAGCAGTTCAACATAGTTGGTGCAGCCTTGAACTCACAACAGTATTTTCTGAACCACACACTTAGCCAGTTCATCCACACAGCAGCACAGAGAGCAGCAGAACAATTTAAGGACCAAGAAAGGGGCTACAACAATCAACATCAAATGAGGAATGAATGGGACGGCCGGTGACACCTGCAGGGCAAACAGGAAACCACGGAACATTAATTTTGCTTAATGTCTTTAAGATTTCTGCCCTGGAGTTAAATGGTTAACCTTGTTCTCAGGATGCTGATATGAATGATGGTCATAAATGGTGCTGTGGAAGTTTTAATGAAATGCCGGTTTCCACACTCTCCTCCTCAGCTTTCAACGCCGGGAATAGAAAAAAGACTAAGGTTGCCCTGGGGGGGGGGGGCCCACGGCTTCCAATCCCCACAACTCTGGGCCCTGAAAGATCAGCCCCGTAGGAAAGGATTACCTCACTTATGTGACCCCCCAAGGGATCACGCCACGAACGAGTAATTACTCAGCAGAAATACCTGCTGGCTGAAGTCAGGAGGGCTGGCACCCGTCACTCAGGCATATTTGCGGGGTGTGATAAGAGGAGCTTTTTCCCCTCACGTTTCCTGGAATGCGGTCGCCACCGGTAACCAGCTAGTGTCATAAATGGCCCTGTTGTTTCAGAGTGCACTGTGAGCTAGGTGACCTCATGGAAGGTTCGGTGGGGGGGGGGGCTCATTATTCCCACTCTTACTTATTGTTTTTGTTGTCACCACAGACACCGCAGCTGGAATGTGAGACTTGGAAAAGGGCTTGTTTTTCTGGGGAATGGTGTGGTCCCCATGTTCCGGAAAGGGGCCTGGAATTGTGAGGAGCCAACGTTTCAGGACAAAGTGGGTAGTATTGCCTTAAAGATACTACAGAAGCACTTATATGTCAGAAGTCATGTTGACTTCTTTAATGTGTACTTGTTTTAACATGCATGTTTTCAGAGTAATTCCTTGTAGTTGAGGAGAGATTCGGGAAGAAATTAACTGGTTTGACTGTTCAATCCACCATATTTCCATTGTCCCCCCCCCCCCCCCTTAATACCTTGAATGCATAAAGACTGTCTGACTTGGGGGTGTAACTAGAAATTCTGGACCCTTTGACAAAATGCTGCCTTGGGCCACAAGGTAGATTTTCTCAGATGTGGGGGCCCCGACAGTACATTTTAGGGCCCCTATAAAGTGCTGGGCCCCTTGAATCTACCCCTCTGAAGCTTCTGGCCTGATCTCACCTGCCCACTGGTCCCATCTCCCACATTTAATTTTCTTAAAATCAGCTTTTCAAACTGATCTTAAGGAAGTCGGACGTGGGAAATGGGAGAAGATTGGGTTGGTGAAGCTGGAACACAGAGAGACTGGCTGAGATTTTTATCCAAGGAATCTTTTACAGCTTACAAAAGTAGTATATTTTTACCGACAGATAAAGTCGGACATATTTACTGAGAAAAAAATCAGGTTATTAGCTCAGCAAATGGTGAAATTTCAGGGCACGTGTGCCAGGACCTTGAAACTCTCCATAAAAAGAGATCCTCGGAATAGATCACTTGAGCAAAGTACTGGACCCTGGAGCGAGATTTATGTTTCAGCACTTCTGAACTCCTTCAGTCCAGACTGAGACGGCCAGGATGTCGAAACACTATGCCACAGTAATAAGTCAGGACTAAAATAAGATGTTCACTAAATGCAATCTGATATTTACCTTAAAATTCTATTGCAGCATATAGATGTCAAAAGCTACATGCTACAAACAAATGACTCCTTTATTGTCTACTTATTTTTTATGAAGTCCATTTGCTTATTGATCTATAAAGAGAGCTGTAACATAATCCAGTCTGGCATTTTTTTTTCATTTTTCTATGGTTTGGCTCGCATATATGATAATGATGCCTGGTTTGCGGCATTGAAATGATTCGCATTAGACTTATGTTACTGAAATAAAGACAGCAAAAGTCGGTAAACAAAAATACCGAAAAACACAGTGATAGAATGTAACACAGAGCGATGGGGTTTATTGGCTGTTTAAAAAATGGCAGGTCACCCTTCAATAGGGGTCCAGTTAGCATATCTTGGGCAATGTGAAAGTAGCCACTTAACACACAGTAGCATTCTGAGAATATCCAATCAGGAGGGACCTGAGCATGCTCTTAGCTAATCATCAGTCAAGGACAGAGTAGAGCCAATCAGGAGAAGCCATGATCACCTCACAGGACTTCAACTGTCCGTTACCCAAGAACAGAGCTGAGAAGAGTCCTTCAGAAGGATCAGGCTCCCTCAAATGATCCCAGCTGCTCTCCATCTAACCACGGAAATGAATTTGATAGGGACCTTCCCCAGTAATCTAATTCTAACTGGTGGAGACTGGTATGAGTCACGAATCCAAGAGAGTATAGCCCAAGCGAAGCTATCATTGGAAGCTGAAGTCCTGGGAGATGTCCTGCTGTCTGAAGTCTGAAGGGATCCAGTAAAATGTCCAGCTTCGTAAATATGCGTGACTGCACTGTCAGAAAAAAACAGTACCAGTTTGTACTGGGGCTGTACCCTCAATGGTCTGCCAGTTGTAATCTTAGCTGTAGGTACTTGTCCTTTTTAAGATACAGAAACAGACATTCATGTTGTTTGAGTCCATTTCTGTACCTTAAATTAGACTAAAAGGTACATTTACCTACAGGTAGGATCCATTTTGCAGATCCTTGAGGTTACAGCCTCAGCAACAAGCAAAGGCACAAATTGTTTTTTTTTTTTGACAGTGTGTGAACTGCTCTGAGAAAAACCACATTAGCTTAGAAATAAACCACTGTCCTAAAGCACCTCAGCATGCTTATCCTGACAAATGTTTCTTGGTTCTTGTTTTATTTCAGGTCACTCTTGGCTGTAGATAAGCAGCTTCTCCTCTCTCCTGGTACCACACTGTCAGATTCTGCTGAGTACTTATGGCTGGTGTAGCCACATCTGCTCAAGCTTCTACTGATGCGACGTGTAACATTTACTGTTTCAGAGGTACCAGATGTCAATAATCGTAAAGATGAGGATCGTAGCAAAGATTTATACTCCGAAATATGCTACAAATGAACGTCATGCCATAAAACTCCAGCAGACACTGCTGCTCTAGTTATGACTGGTAAAGGAGTGAGGATTTTCTGTGAATTGGCCGACTCTCTGCACGTCTTGTTCCCCTGCCAGCACCAGGGCCTTTTCACACGGTGTTAGTCCAAAAAGAGCATAATCCTGATGTTCATGTCAGAGGGGTCTTATCTGATTTAATTTGCTGTTGAGTGACTTTTCTGGTTATCTATCTAATCCCAAGCTGAAGTGGTCTGTTGACAGCATACCTGCCAACATTAGGTTGTGAAACGTATGGAGGTTTCTTTGTCATGCAGTAGGGTAGGGATTCCGGACAATAAGGTTTGCTGAGCGAGAAATTGGCCAGATTCGGAAAACCGGGAGTTAATCGGGAGAAATTGTGAATCGGGAGTATGGCGGAAGGTAGGCAGGTACAGACTGACTAACCACACCTGACAGACTGCAGACGCCAGTAATCACAGCTGGGAAACGTCTCTGTTAAAGACCAAAACTGTTATCTTCTCCGTCCTCCATCTTAATTGTGGGAACATCATTAAACATTCACCCAGAGAATTCTCTCTCCCTCTTCCACGAGGAACCTAATTTTGTAAAAGTTGTCACATTAGCAACATGTCATATTTCTAGCTAAAGGTGAATAAAATAACTCTACACGTCTGACTGATTAGTGCTTTTATTTTGTTTATTGCAGCCTTAGTGACGTGCTTCGTTTGAGGCATGAGATACGTCTAATAGGCATTTAAAACAGCATCAGTGCAAATCCAACATTTATATAAAAAAACAAGGGGATAAGCTAAAGTCTGCCGGCATGAGTGTTGGTGCAGGCTGGTCAGGGTCTTTGGGGAGATGTTGGATCTGTGCAGCTGTCACGCAACGTTGTTTGACATCTTCTAGCCGGACAGTCATCGAATCCACACCCGGCTTGTGTGCATGGGAAGTTACGTCTCCGGAGCATCAAAGTCCGGCCAGCTAACTTCGTAACGCTGTTAATGTCACTGTAGTGAGAATGCAGCAGGTCACCCTGATTCATGCATGGATCCCCCCCCCCCCAAGTAGGAAATGTCCCTGAAGTCTGTGATCTCCAATATAAATTGGAATTACACTAATAATAATAATAATAATAATAATAATAATAATAACATTTTTCAGTTAAGTCTTTAAAGGTGTATGGCTTGTTCTGTACCGTGCAGGATAACTTTATTTACTAATTAAAGTGATTTATCTGTGTCATTTTTTTATGCTGTCAGCAGGTACTTGGTGATATATTTTTGGAGACTGTTGGCAGGATAGACAAGCACATTTATTTTTCATTGCAACAAGTTAATGTTTATTGGTCGGTCGACCGCACCAGTCCAGGACAAAATCACTTGCTTAAAATGACCTTTTCTGACCTTCTAAATGACTTTCTAAAGAGCAGCCAAGCTGTCCAGTTAACAGAAGTATTGCAGTGCATTCATTTTAGTGAGCTTTTCATTTATAAAAATGTACTTGGTCTGCAAAGACGAACGACGGATTAATGTTCTTTAAGGCCGGTTTTATTCCGTATTGTTTTGATTATATTGCAGTTTGTGTTATTTTTGGTCCAGCCCCTGCTTCCGTGACGTAAAGGGAAACGGGGGCATTAACCTCCCCCCGGCGGGGCAGCCGGAGTATCAGCAGCGCTTCGCACCCGGCAGAGTAGGCGGCTGATCCTACGGCACAGCTGGAGGACGACTGATTCACGCCGGTAAGAACCCGCACTTACATCAAACCGGAACCTGGATCGGATGGGGGGATGAAAAAAGACTGGGCGAACCGGAGCGCCTCCGGATAAAAGTAGCGGGGGCAGCAAGTGCACCCCTTATAATTAAACACTGTCCCGTGTGTCACAGGGACAAAAGCGGCTGACGGTCGCATCGCGTCTCAGGACAAAGGCGTGTTAAAATGTAGTGTCCTTAAACTTGGAGTTTAGGGGGGACTTAATTGCAGATTCAAAAGCTTGTTTCTCAGGTTCGCACTTTAATGGCTGTTTACACACTGTTCGCACTTTAATGCCAGTTTATAGCTCGCACTGGGGTGATTATGTAGGATGTAGTATCTGAGTGTGAAGTTTTGATTTTTTTTTCCACAAGGCTTGTAATAATTTAATAAACGCAACATGCATTTTCCATTTGTCGTTGTAATTTTGTCGAGCACGGACTGTTTTATTTCAGTAATATAACGGAAAGTTGGATGGGATGTTGCACAAAAGAGCGCTTCTGTCTGTTTTAATGAATTATTCAGTTCAGGGTCACTTGACTTTTCGGTGGCATCTGGCTTTGCGTTATTTTTGTTATGAGATTTCTGCACGCAAACCCCCGGGCTAGCATTTTCACAAGATAAGGAAATACGTATGGCAGATCCTTCGTATCCATTTTACACTCGTCTTATTCGTTTGGAGTAGCCTGTTTCATTAAAAATTTGTTTATCGGAGATATGAATGACATACTTGAGTTAGCATTTAATGTTTTATTCTACTTTAGGTGTTTTAGCATTTTTAAAATCATGCTGGTTTCAGATATTTCTTCTGTCTCCATATTAAGGAGGTGTGAGTTGGTTATATGAAGTTTGTCCGGTGGAAATTGCACATTCCGTTTCTTGTTTGTTTGTTTGTTTGTTTGTCGGTGTCATTTTTTTCATGATCCACGAGCTCACGTCAGAAAACACACGGCTGATCTCCAGTTCAGATGATCGACATCCATGTGGATTTATAATAGCGAAGGATCTGGCCGCACCGCCTCGTAAAAGGTCCAAATATTTGGCGGCATTTCTGAGGCTGTTTGGACCCTCTAAACAGATCGCCTATTAAAACATAAATATAGATGTTCAATCACGAATGTATTTTTAAATATGCTGTATCCACACATTTATTCCCGACTCATTAAAATATGATACCGATCCAAATGCACTTTTAAAAATTACATTAAGATAACCTCACAATGTCTTCTGATTATTATCTTAAGACTTTGGACTGAATAGTTGGTGAGTTTAGTCTGATTCAGTTCACATGCATGCGTCTAATTGCAGCCCTTTTCAGGGATAGTAAAGTGTCTGATAGTGTTTTTAAAGTCCTCAGCACCCACCTAAAAATAGACTATATAAATAGATTATGTTTACATTAACATACTTATGTGTACAGATATGTTTAAAGTAGTTTTCAGATCGGATAAACTAATTGCAAACTGAAGTTATTAGGCCATAACAATTAATTTATAGTTTTTAAATGTTTAACAAAGTTATTTTTGTCTTGCAAAATGACTAATGAAGTTGTGGAATGAATGTTTTGGAATATCAGACGCTTTGGGGGTCATGGTTTAAAATGTGAATGAAAATTGAGTAATAAACCTGTCAGTTTTATTTTTGTTTTACAAAAAGGATTTTTAGTAAATATTCTGCACAGAGCCTCCCAGTGCCCGAGGCCCAATTCCAGTGGGCGAGGCAAGACGTGTTGTCAGGTGTCACCCCCCCCCCCGGCCTGGCTCAGGTGCATGCAGGCAGGTGCAGAGTCCTTCAGGGCAGCTGTTGACTTGGGCTCTGTGACAGGTTTAAGTTCAGCCCATGAGCTAAGAGCAGAAGGAGAAGGTACCTCCCTGCTGCCCCCCCCCCCCCGATACGCAGTGAGACAGAAAGGGCTCAGGCACGGAGGTTTCTGCCAAGCGTGCGGTAATCTCAATATGACCAGGTCACCTGCGTCACCAAAAGTCACCCTTCCTGCTCCTTGATGGGGGAGCAATTACCATCCTATTCAGATGTCCCTGAGTTACATTCCGCCCCCGAAGTGACAAGCCCAGAGTTCCTCCGCGGGGTCTGTTCTATGTCAGCCTCCCACTTTGGCTTGAGGGGGTGCTATCGACATGATCTCGGCCCCCGTCCCAGCCCTCCCAGGGTCCCCTTCATAACCGAAACCTCAAGTCCCCCCCCCCCCCACCCCCAAGTGCACTGGCCAGGGTTTGCTTGGTGCCAAAGAAGCAACGCAGTTTCAGTGTGAGAGAGGGGGAATTGTTCACACGTGTGGGCCCCAAAGCGGAGGCCGGCATGCACGGAAAGCGGGGGCCACGTCCTCACCGACGTCCATCACGATTCTGCCCCGTTTCGTGCTTTCACAGGCGGGTCTCCGTGAATCGCTGCATTGGGATCACCATGGTTAGCGCAAAGAGGCGTGTGTGATTTTACTTACTGAAATCACCCTCTGATCTCGGCAGGGAGGCCGATTAAGTAATACTGCTGGAGTCTTGTGTCTGTAGAGGCACAGACCAGCGTAGGAGTGAATTTGTTATTGGGGGGGGGGGACGGCGACCCAATAATTTAAATGTAAATGTCTATTTATTAGGGGAATGAATTAAGCCAAATTAAATATTTGGGGGGTACGCCCCCTCTCCTGGTTACTCTTGATCATAACTGAGAAGTAGCTGGTGGTTATTGGTCATGGGGGAGGGGAGAGGTTGTTGTCTGTCAGTGAGGGTGAGCAGAGTGGGGGGTGTTTTGGTGACTAGGGGGTGAAGATTCACCGTGAGGCGGCCCGTCCCTTACTCCGCATGAGAAACTGGAGAAGCACAGATAATCCCATGGGAAGGCCGGGTCGGGGGGGGGGGGGTATCTGGATGGCCTGAGGTTGTGGGGAGAACCCCCCCCCCCACTACCACCACCACCACCATGTCACCAACCTCTCCAGCACTGTACAACAGCTGCAGCTAAAAGAGGTTAACAAATGAAGGGGGAACAAAGACTATGACCCTGAAAGGGGGGGGTTGGAGAGGGTAAAACAAACTTTGGGGCACGGGGGGGGGACGTGGTTGAATCTCATTGTTTCTCCAACTTTATCATGTCGGTGCTGGTGACAGACCTTGTCGACCAGTGGAGGGTGGATTCTGACGGCAGATCAATCGGTGGGAAGGATTTAATAAGTTAGATTTTTTTTCCATTTATTTTTTCCCAATTCAATCAAAATGCACGGACGTCAGAAAAAATGCATAGTCCTTGAATAGCAGGGGCCCTAAAAATTTGGACCATAATTGAATTAGCCTGAGTTGGGGGCCCTGTATATAATATAGTTTCATGGGGCCCAAAATCTCGAGTGGCTCCCCCGGATGAACCCTGTTTCATTGGGATGAAGCGATTCCATCACCGGCTGTGGACGTCAGTCATTTATATGGGAGACTTTAGCGGGGATGAGCGCACTGTAATCGGATGGGCGTGTAAGCAAACAGCGGCGTAAGATGGGATGAAGGTCGCCAGTGGTGGATTTGGCCCCGAACCGCCGTGAAATCCATGTGCTCGGGGCCGTTTGGCCCCATAAGAGCCGCGCAGATGATTCTGATCAGCAGACAATGGCCGGCTGGAGCGGCACTGGCCCGGGGGGGGCGGGGGACAGCTGAAAAAGGACCCTGTCTCGCCTTCACGCAGGGTCAAATCCGGGCAAGCCGCTGAGCACATCACAGCTTCTAAAAAAACATACAATACCGCTTTTATTTCAGCTGTTCGCGGGCCCACGAGCTCCAGAAAGGGCTTGGGTCCCTGAGGATTCGGCCCGCAGCTCGTCATGTAACGCTTGGTGTCGTGGTGTTCATTCTTGGGGTTAATACCTCTGCTCTCCATCGACATGGTGACAGCGCCAATGGTGGGCAAGGTAATTGAAACAGGCCCCCCCCCTACACTGAGCGCCAGATTAATGGATACATGGATTAATGAATAATGAGTATAATATAGATATATCTGTGTTTCAGTTTGACAAAATTGTCTACTGTATTTAGGTACATTGATATATTACGTTATGTATTATTTTCATACATTATGGTACTATATATATATATATATATATGAAATATTACATTATAGTGCCTGGGTCCCTCTCATCCAGGGTGGACCCCAGCCTTGTGCCCTGTGTTGTCTGGGAGGGGCTCCAGGACCCCACTCTGACCTGGAGATGGATGGGCCGATTATAGCGCTCTGGCATGGCGCTGCACATTATTGTTATATTCTATTTCATGTACAAATTCATGTGGATTTTACAGGGTAAAAGAGCTCTGTCTGAAGAGGAGGAAAGTCCCTGTAAAAATCGGTGCCGCTCTGTGACTTTAAATTAGCCGCACTCTGGTTCCGGGGGAGTGAACTCGCGGAACCGAAGCCAGACGGGAGTGTGGTGCCGTGCAAAGGCAGCTTCAAAAAGTCCAAATATGGAATAGGGTTAGGCGACAACGGCCAGCTCGCCTCCTTGTGGCTGACCTTTGACCTTTCCCACCGAGGGTGGATGGGAACACTAGACGTGCATGTGCCTCTTTGTGTAGTGCAGGTTCCTGTCTAACTCACGCATTCCTACGTTTTTGTGGCTGTCAGCTGCGGACGTGCTCCTCTTGCCTCTCTGGGCAGCAAAACAAAAGGAAAACTTCACAAATAATCTGAAGTATGCACAGTCTGGAGCCAGACATGATGTGAATAAACACCCCTTTGTCGTGTTTGCGTTTACTATCTCAAAGGGTAATGGCTCTCTCCCTCTGCCCTACCCCTGTTGTCGGTATCACTCTGGAGAGGATGAACAGGGTTTATGTCTGGGGGATTGGAACGGCTGGACAATGTGTCGTAAAACGTTTGCACTGCACTTTAAACGTTCATCTCTGTGTCTGTGCTGGATTGCGGCCAGCTTGCATCATCGAGATCGCGTAAACATTACCAGTCAAAGAGACGAGATAATCACGGCTTAGTTATGACGTACACAAAAACAGACGGGACTATATTTTTCCTTCTTTGACGCAGGAGAGATTCACACCCAATTTGTACTGAGAATCCAGGTCCAAGAAGGGCCACTAGAAGGGCCCTGGATCAAAACCTGAGCAGGATATAGACCATCTCTTACGTCTGATCCACGTAATGAATAGCAAAGGTATACGGAGGCGTCCAGCCTAAAGGGGTATATTATTGTGCTATTTATAAGGCCGACGACTGGAAAGCTGTGGGACGGAAACTGATGAGCACAAAGGGTGGAAATAGACTTTGGACTGACCATCGGAAAATGTCAGTTGCCCCATCTGTGCTGTGCGGCATCTAAATTCACTCTGATTATGGCCAGTTCATTTTATCGCCCGCCGTCTACTACGAACTCCCAGCATCATCACTGCATCTGCATCTCCGTAGCTTTATGGCCACATTTTACATTTCCCAGTCTTGTCAATCGGTTTTACAGAGGAAAACCCTTTAACTGCTTTTGTTAATGTGTCATTTTAAATAAGTATAAAATATTTAACCAGTAAGTTTTAAGAAAGAAATCACTTTAACTCTTTTTGTTAATGTGTTATTTTCTCGTCATTTAACTTGTGCTGCTATTTTCTTGCCCCTGATAACTGCTTTGGGCTCTGATTCTGTATCAAAGCTGATAGACTCACACTGGTGTAATGGTCACTGTAAGAATGTTTCTTTGACTTAATGGCTTAGTTTACAGTCCAGTTAGTTGCAGCCCACATCTCACTTTCCACATCTCACTTTCCATATCTCAACTGCCTTAATGTGTCAGTGGCCTGAACATCCTAACATCTCAGGACCTTATACATCTCTTTGGCTTTAATATCTTAGTAGGCCCAACATCTCAGAGCCTTCAACATCTTAACAGCCTCAATACCTCAATAGGCTTTGACATCACAGAGCCTTCAACATCTCAACATCTTAACCAGATTAACATCGCAAAAACTTCTCAACAGCCTCAACATCCCAGAGCTTTCAATACCTCAGCAGTCTCCCCTTGAACCCTCATCATCTCAGCAGCATTGACACCTCACTCATTGCTCTTCTAGTCCCATCTTCCTGCTCACCAAGGCCAAGTGGAACCATCTTGACTCCCTCGCAGGGAACAGCAACAACAATGTTGAGAAATCTCAAACTGACAATTGTAGCAGTAAGTTGTTAGAGCTGGTTAAAGCTGAGAGGTGTCGCTCGCTCCTACCTGTCAGGTTAGGATTTACTAACGCAGGTTGATGGCTTCCTTTCCTGAGCCTCACAATCCTGCACTTAACATGGCTCCATTGCAGGCAGTTCCTTCATTCATGTTGCCACTCATATTTACTGGCAACTGCCACCACAGGGTACCAACGTCCAATTACTGCTATTTGGCATGTATTTTATTTACTAGCTATTTTAGTGCATTACCATCCATACTATAAATAACGTGATGCAAACTTTACAGTGGATTTATTGGCAATTGTCATTCATACTGTGATGCATATAAATACTCATCCACATGTCAAGGCCGCCTGCACCCGCGGAGCGTCAGGGTGTGGTCTTTGCGAACATCTTGCAAAGTTTCCACGCTTTGGTCTTCTGCCTTCTGATGGCTCTCCGAGGGCAACAAAACCTCTAAAGCTCTTGGCTCAAAGCCTTTGTCTCCCCATTCGGCGCTTTATCCTTGCAGAACATCTGCGACGGTCTGATATGAATCGCATGTGTGCTCGTGTTGGGATGAAACCCTTGGTGTCCTTTAAGATTTCCCTGCCCCCGGGACACCGGAAAGACCCCATCGTTCACCCGTGGCTGTTTCTCGAGCTTTCCGAGCTGGACCGCGTGGTGTGCTGGGCAGTTGGGGGGAGGGCGAGGCGGGGTAGGGGGGTGGCTCTTCCATTTAGCATCTCCCTGGTGCTCAGCATCCCGACTGAGGCGATCAGGCAGCTGTCATTATGCTTGGGCAGAGCTTAATCCCCCCCTTTACCGATGGGATTATACCAATATCCAAAGAGGTCCCATTGCAATGCTGCCCATGATATCCCCCGAAAAGATAAATAACAAATGTAGCCTTTATCTATGGCGGCCTGGATGACAGGAACATCCTGTTTTATTTCATTACTCACTTGGGTAGGGGAAGCTTTTAACCCTAGCGGGTGTGTGTGTTTTGCACTCTTAACAGTTTACTCTGTAAACACTTCAGATCGGCCCACACTCAAGGCTTTAAGTGTGCTTCCTTCCTGCCTTTTCCCGCTTTTACTGCACTTTCAGTCTGTCTCGCTTTGTTCTCCTTCTTTCTCTGCTTGAACAGAGGAATTACAGTCTCCTAGTAACCTCCCCCCCCCCCCGTGACGACTGAACAGCAGTGATGCTTTCTGAGGATGGACAGAGATTCCCGCTCTGGCCCTGGATGAACGCCGCTTCATCTTGTAAAAAAAAAAATAAATAAATTCTGTTTCTTGTCAGGGAGCAGATTCGTGACATTCATAGACTGAGGCAGGAAGAGGCCGGCTGACTGTAAAAGTGAAGGTTTATAATCCAAATGAGGTCTGTATGAAAGCTGCTTTGGCTGGAAGGCTCCGCCACGGCTTCCAGTGAAATCTAAACGCTCGAGCCCCTGTAATCTCACGGCACGGTCAGCTGCACCCGTCGCTCATGCGCTGGGCGCCCGTGCCAGGCCAGCTGCAGTAACCCACACCACATGATTTATTTTTTGACCCAAATGAGGGCAGATTTGAGCCGTTTTGGTGATCAGGAGGGTAGTATCGGTATCTGTAATGGCCACATACTTCCGATTCTGGAGTATTAAAAAAATCCTGCTCTTCTGTGTGATTCAGCCTGAGAAAGGCAGCCAACCCCCATGTCAACCACAGCCGCATGCAGACTGAAGGACATTCTGTGTGGCACTATGTGGCAGAGCAGCTAAAGGCAGAATGATTCTTCTGTGCAGGAAGCAGGTAGGGATTAAGTAGCAGATTGGATTGGGCTGTGTTTCAGCAGACTGAGCAGCCTTGGAAAATGAGTAAAATCTAAAAGTAACGGCATATAGCAAATGGGTCTTCAGCTCCTTTGGAAGGTAGGGCACAAGGAAGAGGCTAAGCATGGAGATGGGGGGATATCTTCAGCAGTATTGTTACTAACTTGATCCTTCTATAATCATGCTTCATTGTTTATGATAATTTCTCACTCATGGGAGTTTTACTTACGGAAAAATGTTCTGAGGGCAGAAGGAAAAATGATTGGTTTAGAGAGATAACCAATCAAATGCCTTGGTCCCACTTCCTCTAGTTGCTTGGACCCACGTCCCCCACAATCTGATTGGTTATCTCCCTGAACCAATCATTTTTCTTTCTGCCCTCAGAACATCTTTGTGTAAGTAAAACTCCCACAAGCTCATTTCTCACAATCATTTTTTTCTGTATGTGGCTTCAAAACTTTATTTAATTTTTTTTTTCTCTTAAAGGTGAGCTCTGTATGAACTTAAAAATAATGTGACCCATCTCTCAGTTCCCACAGCCATGCACTTAAGCACTCATGGCTTTGCCATTGAATGCATAAGCATGCTGGGACATAATTGGTCTTGAAGACCTAACATTGTTCCCATGGAGACAGCCCAAATAACAGAACGATGGTCTTTCTGTAATTTCTCGGAGCCATACTCACCATCTGCGTCATGCTTTCCTCACCTCTGGCCCCACCCTCTCCCTCCTCCCCTCTCTGTAGCGTCTCTGGTCACGTGACCTGGAGACCCAGGGTGTCAGTGTTGCTCCGAAGGGTTCAGCTTGGCCTGGCTCCATCCCAGCGGGTCATTTTGTCTCACAAACAACATCTGAGGCTAATGAATTACATCCTGGGATGAAAAAATGTTAATTTAAATCACCCTTTCTGGTTTATTGAGCTCTGGAGCCATGACCGAATAAGGATTGATTACTGTGGGAGGTGTTCATGGGACAAAAAGAAGGCTTTTTAATGCCATGCCTGTTCAATATCACAAGAGATATTTATTCTTCACTCCTGGGGGAGGAAATGAGAGCGAGTGTGGTCCAGGGCAGAGGGAGATTTGGCTGCTTTGATGTAGCTCCACTAACAGATGCCAGTACAGTGCAGGGTGATGAACGCGCCAGGCTGTTAAGCGGCTGTGGGCGTGTGCTGCTACATCTGCTTAGGGAAGCGCACTAGGCCATCCAGACGGCGCAGGGCTGGCAGCCGAGAATGGCAGGAGGGTGAGGAGAGGCAGGGCAGGCAGGGAGGACAGACACTGCTCTCTGAGTCTCCGATCCAGACCCTTGCAGTATCTGTTTGGGTTTGGTCTAGGTTTGGTCTCGGTTCCACCTTAAAAACTCATTACCCCTGTTGATGTTTGTTTCTTAAAATATCTGGCTGGAAGTGCCCCCCCGCCCCCGCCCTCTGCCAGTGGTATAAATGGGCACAGCTCTGCCTTGCAATCGGCACTCTCGGCTGACGGGTCCGGGGAGGTCCAGGAAACCCAGGTACTTTAGCTCATTTGGAAGGCTAAGCTTTGAGTATCCAGGCCAGTTTATTTTGGGGGTGGGGCGGGCTGTGGGGGTTTATGGCACAGTTTTGTATGTTATCTATGTGCCTCAGGTCTATTTGCTTTTAGCTGTGTGCTGATCCTCCGTGTCTCCCCCCTGGTTGTCCTGTGTCTCTTAGCTGTCTTCTGGGTTGTTTTTCGGTTTCCAGATGAACATCTGACCGATACTGTCTTCTTGTTACAGCAGTAATTATTAGATTATTAAAAAAACTCCTGATCTGTGAGACGTTCTATGAAGATGATGGTCTGTAGAACTCAAGTCCTTTATGCTGATCGACTCGCTGAGCAGAAAGACCCTCTAACATGGTTGGGTCTTTTTCGACAGGAATTTTCGGAGCTGCTAACTACACACCTGAACTCCATCTGAACTCCACCTGAATCCCAGCGAATTCCAGTGAATCCCAGCGAAACCCAGTGTGACCAACTAACATGAGCAGCAACTACAGCGTGTGCCTGATGGGCCCAGCTCCTTGGGGGTTCCGCCTGCAGGGGGGCAAAGACTTCAACATGCCCCTCACCATCTCCAGGGTGAGTCATTCTCTAGGGACCCCCCTCTCATTGCCACACCTCCACCCCCAGCTCCTCAGCCTTGCGTCATTGCAATACTCACACCCTTGGAATGGCAGAGATGCGCGTGATGATGCGGGAGCGCTGAGTGGCCATAAACCATGATTTATCTCTGTCTCCTTAACTCATCCACTGAGCGTTTATCCTCTTCTGTTACCAAAGCCAATGCTGAGGCATGATTGACTGATTCAAGCCACTGTTCCCAGCTGTGTGCAACCTGTCCGTGTCGTGGGAGCCAGGGGGCCTGTCTGAAGGACTGGGTCAGGGCACTGCCCCCTTGTCCCGTGAAAGACCGCCACTCCGCTGAAAGCGATCTCGTTTATTTTTATTTAGTGTCACACTTCTCGGTGCTTTACGGCTTTTTTGCGTCGCTCTGGTTACACTTGCCTGTAAATAAATAAACCGAAGCATGTTTCTCCGCAGTGCAGCTGCCAAACGAGGATCCGTTTCTGGAACGGACTCACTGAGCATGGTGGGCTTTCATTTAACTCCAGGGCTTCGATTTCTCATAAATTGTTTCCTCAGTTATGTACAGAGTGGAGTAGCCTCATGGGGCACACCTCGAACATCCCAACAGCTCTGTGTCCGTTTTAACTTAATCCTGGCGGGAGGAACAGGAACTCGATGGCGAGTGGAGATTTGCGGTCCAGCAAGCGCTGCGGATCCCACACACACAGCATGGCTTCCTCTGCCTGTGCGCTGTCGGTCATGTGCGTCCCTCTTAGGCTCCACGCTGCACGGCATTGTGGGAATGGCTCTTCCCCGGGGGCTCTTCTGTCAGCCTTGGGCTCCTGCGACAAACATCCCATAATTAGCCTGGGACTCCATCAGCACCCCATCTCTGTCAGCGCCCTTACAAGACATTAGTCACCAACCATAAAAGCCATTGTTGTCAGTTTGGTGGAAAACACGCTATAAAACTGAAAGGCACACACGCACACAAACACGCACATAAACACGCACACACACGTATGCCAGGAACTGACGGTCTGCCCTTTTATGGGAGGAAGCTCTCCTTGTTCTTACTTGACTCATCCTGATGACCAGAAGGCTCTGATTGGTGCTCCCCGTGTGTCCTCTCCCTCCTGATTGGTGCTCCCAGTATGTCCTCCCCCTCCTGATTGGTACTCCCTGTGTGTCCTCTCCCACCTGATTGGTGCTCCCGGTATGTCCTCTCCCTCCTGATTGGTACTCCCTGTGTGTCCTCTCCCTCCTGATTGGTGCTCCTGATGTGTCCTCTCCCTCCTGATTGGTGCTCCTGATGTGTCCTCTCCCTCCTATCGGTACTGCTCACTTCGTGTTTACGAGTCTCTATTTTGTTCTGTTATTTTGGACTTTTAGGCCAAGCAGGTGTCTGTGTATCTTTAAATTTTAATTTTATTTATTCAGCCTTATTACACTGTTTTCTTTGTACTGACCTCTGTGGTCTGGTTACCAACATTAAACTTTAGCGACTACAAATAACTGTGATAAAGCAATGAACTACCGTTATATTTTAAGGTCTAATTTGTATACATATAATTTATAGATATAATTTAAAAAAATCTTATTATGTGGGTAATATTTATATTTGTCGTTAACACCATATCATTTTTTAATACTTAAAATCAAGGCTTGCTGAACACCCCAGTATATCACAGTGCCAAAGTGTGAATAAAATATTGGCTCAGATTGAAATGAAGTAGGCAGGAGGAGGTGCGTGTGGCTCCCAGGCCCGGGGCATGACCAGAGGTGTCCACGTGGCGTTCTTGGACCAGCTGGTGTTTATAGCAGTGGTCAATCTGTTCTTATTATCTATGGTCATTTCATAACTGGTTTGCTGAGCTCTAATTCTGAGGGGTCACATGACACACGTCTGGGTTTTTTATTTGGAGGCTCTTTACGAAGGGTCACGTGATATACGGATATTTTTATTAGTAGGCTTTTTGGAGGGGGCCTGGTTCTTTTCAGGCATGACAGAGCAGACCCACGGACAGCTCTTTGGAGGGCAGTGCCATGACTGTGCCTTACCAGACTCAGGAGACTGTGGCCTTTAATATTTCTTCCTGGTATGTGTCACACACTACACTCCCGGCCCCCTCTGCTCTCCTCCTTCCACGTGCCGTGAGGCCTTGGCGTCTGGCAGGAATGTACAGTACCTGCCAGGGAGGCCTGCCCTCAGCCAGATGGGAAGGTGGTGGCGAGGAGAGAACACTGGGGCTTTTCAGAGTTCTAGAACACACCCAGTGTTCCACCATCGTACCAAGGCCTTCTGGGATATTGCTTGAATGTAGAAGCAGGATTCGAAATGACAGTTCTGAAGTCGGGCAGAAAGGGTCTTGTCCGAATGCACCCACATGGTTAGTGGTGCTGGTGGCCTAGCGCCCGGCACCATTCCCACACAAACAGCCCTTGACCGTGTGCGTGCTCTGCCTTGTCCAAACACTTTTAAATAGGGCTGCAGTGTAAATTTATTTTCTTTTTCCATTTGCAAACCCAGATTTATTAGGGATTAAGCGATAGACCGTGGACTTACAGAATAATAAGCCTTCAAACGAGGCTGTAAAAATCCGCCTGCGGGCCGTGTGCCGGAAAGAACGCGCTTCTCTCCTAGCCAGACGTAGGGGGCGCTGTGGTCGTCCATACTGTGGAGTCGAGGTCGGCTCTGTGCTGTGAGATGTGACAGAAACGGCAGCTTTTATGGAGAGAGGGAGGCTCCAATTTTAAGGTGTTTGATAGCCCTCAGTCAGCCTCGAACCTGCCGGCCAAGCCTCCCCTCTCCATGGCGTGGTGGAAGCCCTCTCTGCTCTGCACTGAACGCTCTCTGACCTACACAGTCATGTGGACTCTGGTGCAAGAGGAGGGGGATGTTGTCCCGAGTTGGTCAGATCTGCACACTCCTGGGGTGTTTCTCAATACCAAGAACGCAAAGATCATACTGGTTGGCTAACTTGCCTCCCAATAAGTAACAATGAATCATGGGATTGGTCTCGTTCGGTGAGGATGCAACCAATTTTTACCATCCTCTATAAATCTGTTCTTAGTGTTGGAATTGGTTTTCGGCAAAGGAGAATGATGTAACACGGGTACACGACAACACAAGTACACGTTTTGAGGAACAGCCCTGGAGTAATGGATCTGGACCCATGATGTTCTTTGGATTAAAAATAAAATGCAGGGAGAACTCCAGCGTTTGCTGTTTATTGCACACAGTGATTGGTTGCCGACGGCATCCTGCCTCTACGCTGTCAGTCCATGCGGGCACATATCACAGGAGCCATCTCACGTTGTACAATCTATACATATGCATAATTTATGCCGCAAAGCAGGAAGAGATCTATGAGCGGCCATTGATCTCACATACTCCTCTTGTCAATGCTTGGGTTAGCTAGCTAAGCACTGATGCTTTTACTGAGTTGTAGGAACAGGCTTGTTCATCAATATTCTATTTCCATAAGTTCTGGTTATATATAAAGTTAGGATAGATAAATAACTGCATGTCTGTATATGAAACATATTTCATGTGTTTCAACATCTTCAAAAGGCCAGTGTTTGCAGGTCTGTGGGATAACTTTCAGGTTAGCTGTTCAAACTCAGGTGTGAAGACTTCAGCCAGTCAGTCCTCTAATTAGTAATCTAATTTAGGGAGCTGCAGTGAAAACTGCATACACAGCAAAACATTATGGATAAGATTGGCTACCCCTGGTCTGCATTGATGACAGACGTGTTGTTTGCATAGATTTATAGTTGCAGTAGAAGATGAAGCCTCATAGATGTTTTATTTGGTTAAGGAGGATGAAGACACGGTTCCTGAGTTTTTAATGCCCGGCTTTCTTTCTTTCCATTCACTCGTCTTCCCTCCACAGCATTTAGGGAGAACAAACAAACATTCTCCCTTCCAGAATAAAGAGCACAACTTGTTCTCTAGTGGCAGGAGTCAGGAAACAGAGCCCCAGATGGACACGGCTGTCGAGGCGGTTTTGCTGGAGAGACATGAGAGCAACAGACAAGAAGATGGATAGAAACCAAATTGAAAAACACAGACTAAACTGGACTTGACGAGACGGCGGTTGGGTTTAATGAATACAGTGTCAGAATGAGTTGGGCCTGAAATGATGAGGTGTGGAAATAATATAGCCAGTAGATCATGTGACATGGCATGATTCACGTTGAAAGAGAGTGGGGGGTGGGCTACTGGAATTTCACACCAGTAGTGCACAGTGATCCTTTTCCCTGTTTGAAGGGGTTTCTAGCTGGTTGTTTTAGCATGATCTGGGTCCAGGTCTGAATTCTGAAGGGTGACAGAGAAGGCTTGACCTTACATTTATATCTTTTAACCCCCCGCCCCCCTTCATGGGCCTGTAGATTGTACCGCTGCTGTACTGGGAGCCACATCATTCTGGGAGACTTCAAAAGAAAATAAATGTCTGTATTAGAGGTCTCGAAGATTCTCCGTTCATGAACGATAACAGATGTGGGTCCACTGTGCTTTGCACCTGCAAGTTCAACAAACATAAGCTTACAGTATGTTTTGCCGATCCGAAGAGCAAGGTGCCCAATTTGGTTAGTCAGAGAGCTTTCCGGACACCACACAGACACACACGCACTGAAACACACACGCTCACTGCCTCAGCAGACTGATTAACCATCGCTGAGGAGTTAAACCCCCATCGTCTCATGGCTGTATGTGACATTAACTCCCTCTACATTTCGGTTGGTGAACATTCCCCATTTTCACTGGCTGTCCGGACACAGTCATTGTAATTCGCTGTGGGCTGTGAGACTCCAGTTCCCTGTGTGTCACCGTCAATGTCATCCATGTGAGTTACAGGTCTACAGTAGACACACAGCCAGAGAGGAACTCACAATGCAGGCCAGGCAGCCGAGATAGAGCGGCTATTAACGTGGCGTGTGAGATGGTGGGGGTGAATGCCAGCCGGCCCTGGGACTGTCCTCTGCGTGCAGGAGTGACGGAATTAGCC